TCAGAATGGGATTCTGAAAATAAGGTCTTCACAGACATCATGACGTTAGACCACGGCCTGTGGGCCCTAGTCAGGCATAACATGTTCTTGTCAGGAGAATTTTAGATATAGTTGCAGAGAAAGATCTGTGTAAGGACATAGGGAAGCCCTAGAAGGAGGACAGTGTGAAGAACAGGCCGTGTGGAGGGGCAGCGAGGGTGGCTGCAGGGTGAGAAGGCATATTGGGTAGGCAGAGCTGGAGGAGGCAAGGAAGGGTCCTTACTGTCTAGATTTTTTTTTGTCTTTTTGAGACAGGGTCTCCCTGTAGCCCCAGCTGACCTTGAACTCACAGAGATCCACCTGCCTCTGCCTCCACAGTACTGAGATTAAAGTTGTGTGCCACCGTGCCCGGCTACTGTCTAGATTTTACAGGGAGTTTGCTCTGTCAGCTCCTGGATGTTGGTCTGGAAGTTTCCAGATGGGTGAGACACTCATTTCTGCTGCTCTGAGCCACCCAGCTAGTGCACGATCACCACACCTAGGGTGTTAATGTTCTGCCCAAATCCCAGCTCAAAGAAAAGATGGAACCCAAGCAGTGCATACTCTGAATTACTTTCTGGACCTTCAGAGTGCCAAGAAGCTAAAAGTTGGCACTTAATAGTATTTTTGTTTTGAGACAGCTCTCTTGGTAGACAAATATTTCATATTAACATGAGACAACTGATGATTTGTTGTAAACATGTCAGGTAGGGAATATGGGGTAAGAGAATCCGTGTCTCAGAAACCCTGCTTCTCACTGACTGACTTCTGCCCTCCCTGTGGGGCTGAGTGTTGAGACAGTCATTCTCAGGTTATCAAAACTATCAAAGCTGGGTCTGGTGGCACAGTCTATGTCATCCCAGCTACTCATGGGGCTGTGGTAGGAGGCTTGAGTTTGAGTCTTGCCAGACCTACAGAGTGAGTTGAAACCCAGCCGGGCAGTGATAGAGTGCTTGCCAAGCACGTTCACTTCAAAGTGCTGCCAACCAGCCAACCAACTAACCGCCACCAACAACAATGGCAAAAAAAACCAAACCTAAATCTTAGGCTGGGTGTGGTGGTACACACCTATAACCCTAGCCCTGGGGAGGCTGAGGCAGCTGAATTTTAAGTTCAAGACTAGCCTGGGCAACATAGAAAGACTGTTCCCTGAGCGCCCCCCCCAAATTATATAAAAAATGATAGTTGTTTTAGATGTTTTGACACGGACTTGGTCTGTGGTGTAGATAGTTTCTGTGTATCACTAGTGTGACCGGCCTTGCCACCCGCCATCAGTTTACGTAGATGGAGAGTTCTCCATTTTGAATGCCAGAATCAGTTAACAATGTAGTCTAGGTTGGGTGGCAGCCTCTTTCCTGTTAATACAAAGTCTGGGTAAGATAATGCCTTGACTCTGTATCACTTAATTGTCTATATTATTTCTGTTCCCAGGTTTTAGAAAAGCTGCAAAAGCAGGGCTGGAGCAATGGCTCAGCGGCCACAAGCACTTCTGCTGCTCACAGAGGACCCGCTCTGGTTCCCAGTACCCACCTGATGCCTAAAGCCAGCTCTGTGGTATCCGATGCCTTGTTCTGGCCTCTGTGGACACCAGGCACACATGTGGTGCACACACACAGATGCAGGAAAAACATCCATGTAAAGGAAATTGCAAGAGCACTTGCAATTGATCTTCTGTCTTAACCAAAGCCTTATTTTTCCAAAGAGAAAGGCGAGGAACATGTGGCAGATATTTAGATAGTGTCTGCTGTGTTCGTACACTGCCCTAGGCCCTTGGGTGTGGCATAAACAAAGCAGATGACAGCCCCTGCCCTTGTAGTGATGGTGGGTTGGTAGCTGCAGGTGGCAAGCAATGGACCAGGTTGAGCCAGTGGACACTGTCCATGGGTGGTGAGCAGTGTTCCCATCCGGCCACAAGGAGGCAGCCTCACACAGCAGATGCACCCTGTGTGCTGGGCACAGCCTCTTCAGCACTGACCTGGAATGCTGGGGGGAGGGGGTGACGTTGTGAAGTGTGCCTTGTTAAACCTGTAGCAAAGGTGATGTACTTAGAGCAAGAATCATGAACTTACCATAGTGAAGGTGTTGGGCGGTTAAAATGAATTCCTACATATTTACATGATAAGCTGGTAGAGATTGAATTACCTTCCCTCTTCCCTTTTGGTCAAGTTTGAGTAACACAGTTTAAGAACAGAAGCAAACTCTAAGAGTTAACCGAAAGGAGAGAGGTGTGAGCTGCTGATAGCTTTATCTTCGGTTCTTTTTCATTTGTTCTGTCTGTGACCGTGTGGTACGTTTTTCATGTATGATTGTAATGTACGTATGTGTATGTATAAATAACATTCGATACTTGAAAATATTCAACAATGTAATTGTAAGTTATTTTAAAAAATTTTAAAAATTATATCTATTTTATGTGTAAGAGTATTTTGCCTGCATGTATGTGAGTGTACCACATGCGTGCCTAGCTCCTGTGAGGCCAGAAGAGGATGTCAGATCCCTTGGAACTAGAGTTAAGGATTGTTAGGTGACATGTGGGTGCTTGGAACTGAACCCAGGTCCTCCACAAGAGCAGCCACTGCTCTTAACTATTGAGCCACCTCTCCAGTCCCAGAAATGTCTTTAAAACATAAGGTCCCATCGATGGTTGGCTTTTCTGGGTGGTGAGGATCAGGGGGACAAAATAAAGTGTTCTGTAGCACAACATATTCTGAAAGGGCAGGAAAGCACGCTCTGACGTAGCTAAGTGACTTCCCCGAGCCTCTAAGAGCACAGAAGGAGCTTTGCCAGCCAGTCGCATGGCCTCAGGCCTGTTAGTTACCTTAGGGTTCTAATCTTCAGGGTCTTGGGGACACTCGGACACTCCTTGTCCTTCCCTAGAGCTCCTGGGATGCTAAGCAGTTCTAGGCAGTTTCTTATTTGGGTGGTCTCTTGCCATCTCAGGCCTCTGCGGCACAAAGCCCTACCCCATCTTTTACCTGCACCTCGTTGAGCATGAACCTGTAGGTCTTTTCTTCTTGTGAGTGGAGGAATGTATGGTTTTGCACGTGTTAGAAATTCTCTCCCTTACCACAGGCAACCACTGCCTTTGTCAGGATCCTTCACATGGCCATGGCTGAGTCCTCTATGCCCCGTGTGTTCCCTGTTGTTAGTGGTGAGAGTGGACATTGCTGTCTTGAAGTAGTGGATCTAGAAGCATGCTTTCCAGACAGGTCTCACCTGGGAACCTTGTTAGAAGTGTAAGCTCTCCCCATCCCTCCCTGAGGAGCTGTTGGGAGGTAATGGTGGCCACTGGTAAGGTGCCCATGCTCCAGTAAATCCCTACCACTGGTCACACGGGCCACCCTGATTAACCCAGAGGGTCCCAACCAATCAGAACAGCAGAAAGACATGAAAGGAGGGGGACTTGTCGGGATGGAGGGTTTAGTGGAATGAGAGTGGGTGGTGGGGTGAAGATGAACAAACTGCACTACCTTAAAAAGAGAAGCATATGTTCTCAGGCCATCCATACCCCCTGAACAGAAACTCCACACGTGGGGCCCACATCCTCAGGTGATTCTGATATTTAAAGGTAAAAATACTTCTTTTTTATGTATATGAGCGTATTGCCTGCATTTATGTAAGTGCACCTGTGTCGTGCGATGCCTGTGGAGGCCAGAAGAGGATGTTGAATCTCCTGGAACTGTAGTTAATAGACGGTTGTTAGCCACCATATGGGTCCTGGGACTCAAACCCAGGTCCTCTGGAAGAACAGCAACTGCTCTTAACTGCTGAGCCATCTCTCCAGTGCTGTGGTGTAGTTAAGTTCAGAATTGCTTCCCTGGAAGTATCAAAACTTCAGTCGGAGAGGTTATACTAATCGCTCTTTGTGCATGTTCTCAGATCTTGGCGTATTCTAGGCTTGGTGGTGCATATCTTCTTTCCCAGTCTTGGGAGGCAGAGGTAGGTGGATCTTTGTGAGTTCAAGGCCAGCTTGGTCTACATGGCGAGTTCCAGGCCAGCCAGGGCTACATACTGAGACCTTGTCTTAAAAAAACAAAAACGTGTTTATGCTGGCAAAAAACGATTGCTTAGCCTTGAGACCAAACCCTTGCAAATCTGAATTAAGTATCTGGTTTTTTGAATAGCAGTATTTGTGCAGCACGATCATATTTAAAGTTGATAATGCTTTTGGATGGTTTATTGATGTGGGTGTCTTTTGGGGCTGTTGTTGGCCATTTGATTCATAAACTGAATGAGTATAGTGAAGAGGAAGTGTTCCGCAGGCCCTGCCTTGATGTCTGCTGCTGTCCTCCTCCATTCCCTCCTCCGTTCCCTCCTCCATTGATTACTACTGCAGTTGTTCCATTGAGTCAGTCTGCCAGTTGGTGGGACTCGTGGAGTCTGCCTGCGCTGCCACCAGCCACTCATGAGCTGCCTTCTGCTTTTTATGGCACAGATACAAGTCTGTGCCATGAGACAGTCAGGCTTCTTAGCTCTGCCGTCAGTCCTTTAAATAACATGTTTTCTTAAAGCCTTGACTATATGTCTGGCAGTAAAGTGAGGTCTTAAAATCGCAAAGTAAAATCATAGAAGTTCTTTCAGGACTGGAGGGATGATCCACCGCAGAGTGTGTGCTTTGTATGCACAGGTCCAGGGTTGGTCCCTAGCTTCACCTTCACCCCCCCCATGCATACACCCCCTCAAAAATAAAAACAAAAGTCATTTCTATTATGGCCTGAAAACAGAACATAGAAATAGGATTGTAAGAATACCGAATAAAGTGTAACAGTGTACATGTATGAAAATGCCATAATAAACACATTACTTTGTATGCTAACTCAAAGTATTAATAAAAATTAAGATACTCTGAGCCACAAACAAACAAAAGAATATTGATTTTTCAACAGAAGTAGACGACCAGACCTAAGGAAGGCGGATCAAATATGGCTCCAGAGGAATTCAAGATTTGATGAATTGAATATTTATTTTTATCTATTTTCTAGACCTGGAAAGGAAAGAACAAGAATTAGAGCAGCTGAAATTGGACTGTGAGCATTTCAAATCCCGTCTAGAAACCATGCAGGCTGACAGCGGGAGGGAGAAGAAGGTAGGTGCTCACAGAGGCTGGGTAGGCTGTGCTGGGTGCAGGGGCTCTTGGCTTGCTGGCTTTCTCTTGAAGCAGCAACTGGTCTTAACTTTTCCGATAGTCCTCAAGAGTTTGTCGTTTTAAATCTATGTGCTCTGAATAGGTTGGAAGGTAGATGAACTGTTGATGGATTTATAACCATTTAACATGTAGATCACTCACTTGGTGGCTTTTAAAAACTTTCTTACATTTATTTGTGTGCGTATGCGTGTGCATGTGCGTGCATGCGTCTGTCTGTGTATATGTGTGTAGGCTTGCGTGTGCCTCGGCATGGGTGTGGAGGTCAGAGGGCAACTTAGGGGAGTTGGTTTTCTCTATCTGCCATGTGGGTTCTGGGAATCAAACTTAGGTCATCAGTTTGGGCAACCAGTGCTGTTACTCACTGAATTATCTCTCTTGCCTCCTTTAATTTCTATATTTAAAAGTTTGCTTCAAAATGTAAAGATTTGGGGCTGGAGAGATGGCTCAGAGGTTAGGAGCACTGGCTGCTCTTGCAGAGGACTTGGGTTCAGATTCCAGCACCCACATGGTGGCTAACAACTGTCTGTAACTCCAGTTCCAGGGGATCCAACGCCCTCTTCTGACCTCCTTGGGCATTGCATGACACGGGTGCACCTACCTTTGTGCAGATGCAGGCATTACATTTATACACATAAAAATAATAGGGATCGGATAGATGGGTTAGCAGTTAAGAGCACCGTCTGCTCTTGCAGAGGACCTGTGTTCAATTCCCAGCACCCACATGGCGGCTAACAGCTGTCTGTATCTCCAGTTCCAGGGATCTGACACCCTCCTCTGATCTGCACGAGCATTGCACCACATGGGCGCACTTACTTACATGCAGGCAAAGCACTCATATACATAAAATAAAAACAATAAAATTCTTAAAAATATATAACAATATATATTTTAAAAAATGTAAAGACTCATACACAATAACATAATTGGCAATAGATATGTTAATTTGTATTTATAGTTAATTTGGGTATTATTTACAGATAGTTTGGCAATAAATGATTATATTTTAATACTGGGAGAGACCATAATATTTCTTTCAGATATTTTTGCATTTGGATGAATGGCATAAATTATTTACTCCCTATAAAATTGGTTCTGTGCTGCCACTTGTAAAATTTTGGGCTCATATATTTTTTAATTTCCAAAATAACAGAACAGTGATAGTGCTGTGTCCAGATAGTGCTGCATGCAGGCATTTCACAGCCATGTGCATCGCAAGTGCTTCTCCAGCACAGCTGCATCCCCAGGCACTGCCGCCTTACAGCTTACATAGCGGGGCCCAAGGCCATGTCCTCTGTGCTAGCCTGGGTTGCATACTGCCTTGTCATGCAGAGGCTCTGAGTGCGGCTGCGGTAGAGGCTTTTGAAAACTGGTAAATTTGGCACATATTTTAATACTGTGCAAATAGAGCATGGTAGAAAGAGTTTTATTCTTTTTTGTTTGAGACAGGGTCTCCCTGTAGCCCCAGATGGCCTGGAACTTGCTATGTAGACCAGCTGGCCTTGAACTCACAGAGATCCATCCGCCTCTACCTCCTGAATGCTGGGATTGAAGGCGTGCGCCATCACGCCCAGCTGTAAGAGTTTTATTCTTAAATCTAGGTTAGGTTGAACAACACAAGAAGTTGAAATTTTAGTTTCGCCATATTCTGTTTGAATCATAATAAACTGAAATGGCAATCTAGTTAGTTTCAGATGAAGCATTTCATGGCCTTGGAGAAACTGACCAATAGACAAGAAGGGATTGGCTAAATTTTTAAAACGCAGTTCATCGATCCATCTCTCTGTAAATTGTTGAGGTATCCTTACAAGGTTGACGCTTATGTCAGGAAGGATCTTGGATTTCCTTTTCAAAATCAGCAGACATAGGAAAAATGAATACTTAGCTGGCATTTTATATGTAATGCTTAAAAACAAACCATTTCAGGCTTGTTACCTGTAATCCCGTACTTGGGAGGCAGAGACAGGAGGATTTCGAGTTTGAGAGCATCCTTGACTACATAATGAGGCCCTGTATCGGAAAAACCAAAACCAAAAGAACAACAAAGGGAAGAACAGCAATGAGGGTGGAACCCCAGTGAGCACCGGGAGTCAGCTCCTCAGATGTGCCTGCACACCGCAGGTCACAGGAGGAAGGTCAGGCTGGATGGTCAGCTCCATCATTTGAAATCGGCTAGAAGATTAGTGAAGGTCACCTCTGGCTGTGACTGGAAGGATGTTCCAATTATGATTAGCTGAATGCAGGCAGCTCCTTCTCAGTAAAGGGGAAGTGGAGGAAGCCCATGTCCTGTGCCCCCTCCCTTCCCTTTCTCCTCTCCTTCTCTCTTCCTCCCTCCCCTTCTGTTTTCTTTGTCCTTCCTGTTCATCTTTTTAATTTTAAAAATTCATTTATCCTGGGCATGGTGGCACATGCCTTTAATCCCAGCACTCGGGAGGCAGAGGCAGGCAGATCTCTGTGAGTTTGAGGCCAGCCTGGTCTACATAGTGAGTTCCAGGCCAGCTACAGGGAGATCCTGTCTCAAAACAAACAAAAATAATTTATCTTTATTTTATGTGTAGGAGTGTTTTGCCTGTGTAAGTGCACCCTTGTCTTGATGTGAACATTGCAGTCTCAGGCCCAAATTTGTGCAATCAGCATGCCACTGTAATTGTGAGCCCTGATAAACCCTTCCTCTAGCAGATTAATAAGCCAGTCACCTTTAAACTCATTTTAGGGCATGGGCACAGTGTAGACAAGTTCTTTGCCACAATGGAACATGAACATGCTCTAGTTCTGTTCCTGTTAGAAGCCCTGTTCCCCTCTGAAATTTTGTAGTTCATATGTTGAATAGTGCTGGAACTTTGGGGCTCTGAGGAAATGAACTAACACGTTTTGGAGTCTCGTGTCAGACAGAATCATGGCCTTACCATTCACTGTCTTTGGAGATTAAGTATGGGTTAAGAAGTTTTGGTTTAAAGAAGTGTGTTTCGGTGTCCAGTTGACAAAGGGTGGACTTGAGATGGTTAATCTTCAATTGGCAACTTGGTTGGGCTGAGACACACCTAGGACACAGGGCATGTTTCTGCTGTGCCTGTGAAGGTGTTTCTGGAGGTGATGAACAAGTGTGGGCAGCTGCCCTGCATGTTACCTCCTGTGTCTTATAATAATCTGAGGATCTAGATGACCGAAGGGCAAAGAGGAGGAGCATGGGTAGGCTTCCTCTCGCTGCTTCCTGGCCTTCATGAGGGGAACAGCTGGGCTCTGCTGCATACTCCTGTTGTCATGCTGTCCTGTCTGCAGGACCACAGCCATGAAACAGGCTAACCACAGACGGAAGCCTCCGAGGCCATGGTGCGGAGGAAATATCATCTTTTAAGTTGTTCTCTCAGGCATTTGTCTCAGTGACGAAAAACTGACAGCACACCAGGTTAGTGCCTAAATGAACCCAGAGCAGATAGATTGTGAATAGGTATGTCAAGCCGAGGTAGGGCTGGGAGGCCTTTGCCTATATGAAAGTGCTTACTGGGCAATCTAATTTAGAGTCCTAGTTGCTAGATTCCTTCCTGGTTCCTCAGCTCTAAAATAAGCTTTCAGTCCAGTCTCATGATCTGTATAGGCCTGAGCAGGGATCACAGACAGGGCTTCAGAATAGACAGCTGCTGAAGAGAAATGGCCTTATTATAGCTAACATGCTTATCCCTGTTAAAGTAGTGTCCTACTCAACAGAAAACCTGACTAGGGATGGAAGAACAGTCTAAGCAAAAATACCTCCCCCTCCTCCCTCCTCGTCCCTCCTCCTCCTCATGATCTGTATAGGCCTGAGCAGGGATCACAGACAGGGCTTCAGAATAGACAGCTGCTGAAGAGAAATGGCCTTATTATAGCTAACATGCTTATCCCTGTTAAAGTAGTGTCCTACTCAACAGAAAACCTGACTAGGGATGGAAGAACAGTCTAAGCAAAAATACCTCCCCCTCCTCCCTCCTCGTCCCTCCTCCTCCCCTTCCTCTCTAGCAATGTCAAGAGAACTGAATTGGCACACCTATGGGAGACAGGATGGCAGGCCTCTTCCAGTCTCCAGAAAGTTCAGCAGAAGCTCTTCTCAAGGGAGCCCAGGTGCACCTTCAGGTCTTGGTGACAGAAAAGGAAGTGTGCCATCTGGCAGCCAGTGTGGCCAGGAGAAGGCTCTACAACAGGCCTGGAACATTTCTTCCTCTCCCTCCTCTTCCTCCTCCTCTTCCCCTTCCTCCTTCCTCCCCCTTCCTCCTCCCCTTCCTCCTCCTCCTCCCTCCTTCCTCCTCCTCTTCCTCCCCCTTCCTCCTCCTCTTCCTCCCTCCTCCCCTCTTCTTTTTTGGAGACAGGGTCTTACTCTGGAGCCCGGGCTGTTCTTAAACTCCATGTAGCTTAGGCTGGCATTGAACTGTTGAGCTCTCCTGCCTCAGCTTCCTCAGTGTTGGAATAATAGGCATTTGTCCAGTGCTCTTATCTGATGGCACACAGTATTCACCATTAGCAAACTAGCTGGGATAGGAACTGACAATGTCTTGTTATCCATATTTTATTTTCTATATATTTAAAAAATATTATTTTATGTGTATGTGTGTATTGCCTGCATGTAAGTACACCTGTGATGTGCAGTGCCCATGGTGGAGAGAAGAGGGTGTCGGATCCCCTGGAACTGGAGTTATGGATAGTTGTTAGCTGCATGTGGGTGCTGGGATTTGAACCAGGGTCCTCTGCAAGAGCAGTCAGTGCTCTCAATGGCTGAGCATCTCTCTAGCCTCAGTTTCAGGTTTTGGTTTTTGGTCTTTTTGAGACAGGGTCTCCCTGTAGTCCCAGCTGGCCTGGAACTCACTATGTAGACCAGGCTGGCCTTGAACTCACAGAGATCCACTGCTGGAACTAAAGGCATGCGCCACCATGCCCGGCTCAGTTTCAGGTTTTATACAAACGTCTTTGATCTA